ATAAATTTGTTATAAATAAAAAAGATTGAAGTTGGTAATAACTTCTACAATAAAAAGAACTTAATATTAATACACAAAAAATATACTAGAAATAGTTTATTTCTTTTATATACATTGTGTAAGCATTATGTTCAAATATGCTGTTTGTTCGTGAGGAACACATTAACATCGGTGCAATTGTAACGTCAAATGCATATGAATTCAATTGTACTTCCATTTCACAGCGTAAAAGCACCTTTTACTTTACTTTGCTAATTAGACTGTAAAAGCTTCACGCTGAATTAAATTGTCAAACAAAGCAATTCCACTGTATTCTGTGTTGTTACATAATTACTCGTTTTCTATCACAAAGTGAAGTAACCGTGTCATTTCTTTTGTAAAAGCTTTGTTTCATTGAATAATAATTTTATTAAATGTTCTTTTTACATCTAAGTGTACTTTATTTTTGTTAAACCATGAAAAACTTATAATTGTAAAGTAATTAAGGATGATGTAATAAAAATAATTAATTATAATTTTAATATTTGTTTTTAATTCGATATATATATATATTTATTTATATAAAATAATTAGTACTTATTTCATAAAAAATTATTGATCTTATGAACTAAAATTAGATTTTCTTCTTTTAATTGCTTTAAATATATTCCCAAGACATTCTTATCCAAAACTATAGTCAAGGCAACTACCTAAATTTACTGAGTTGCTAAAACATTCTGTTACAATGCAAAAACATTCATTACTAAGATTCAAACTTTTGTATTGAAAATATTATTTCTTTTATATATGATTTTTCGTATAATTAAGTAAACATGTTTGTTCTTTAATTAATTACTATTTTTACCTAGTAGTTTCAGAAATATTAGCTTAATTATGAGAAACTTTTACTTTTAATAAACAATATCAATTAATTTTTTAAAATATTTGTTTATTTCTATTGTAAAAGAGTTAATTTACATTTAACAAATATGTAGTTCCTATTTACGAAATCAAATATTTAAAACTAAGAAAGTTACTTTACTTATGTTATACAAATTATATAATTCAAGTTACTTAATTTGTAAATGAAAAGTGTAAAGTGCAAATCTGTAACATCAATTGTTTTTCATTAATTTTATATTATTTGCTTATATATATATTTTTTTATATCATTTTTTAAAGTTTTTGTTGGAAACTCAATAATAATACTATTTTCTTTTTGTTTCATGAAACTTAGTATTTAACAATATTCCCATATTATACCAGAAGGAGATTTTGTGTCAAAATGTTTATGTTTCAGAATTATCAGCTTAATTATGAGAAACTTTTACTTTTTAATAAACAATATCTGCTTGATTTTTTTAAATATTTGTTAATTTCTTTTGTAAAAGAGTTAATTTACATTTAACAAATATGTAGTTCCTACTTACAAAATCAAATATTTAAAGGTAAGAAAGTTACTTTACTTATGTTATTCAAATTATATAATTCAAGTTACTTAATTTGTAAATGAAAAGTGCAAATCTGTAACATTAATTGTTTTTCATTAATTTTATATTATTTTCTTACATGTAAGAAGCAAACTTTATACTACAAATGTAAAACCTTGCATTCACATATATATAAAATATTATTTTTAGCTAAAATATATTATTTTTTCACAAAAGACAATCAATAAAAAAAACATTCTCAGATAATTCAAAATAAGGAATTGTAGGGTCTTTGCAGACAGGAATCTAAGTTACACTTTTCGTTTACTTTCACTCTATCATAAGAAGGGTGAGAAAAAAACAGATAAAATTGTCTTTATGTATTTTTGTAATAACACTAAAAGGATGCCCGGAAGCCAATCTGGTTGAAAGCTCGTTCCGCTTATTTATTTGAGAATAGAGTTCCGTCCGAGGCGTACAAAGGACGAAATCAATCAATTCGTCGGTAAATTGCAAGGATTACAACCGATCTATGTTATTTCAAAGAAAAAACTATTATTATAAAAAAAGCTATTATTTAATGATAAACAGTATTAACGATCCTCCACGAAACATCATGCGATGTTTACATTAATCTCGAAACGCTGAATCAATTAATTCATATTTTTTTTGTTACGTTTCCTGTATTTTTTTTTACATCCAAGAATAGCTCCGGGGATTCATTAATATCTATATAGCTGATTTTGATAAATGTCTTCATATGCGGACAATTTATTACACTTTCCGGTTTCTGTTTTGCTGCAGAATACGACAATAATTCATCTACCTTTGCAGTATAAAAAAAGCGGCCAAAGTGTGGAAAAAATAATATTGTGTATACGAGGCAGGAAAGAAAATGGTGGAAAGTTACGCTAATGGAATTAATGGTAATCGCGTTGCTTTCGCGATTTCCTGCTTCTCCTTCAGCGCTGCCTTCGATGCAGGATCGTTGTTCGGCACCGGCAACCTCTGACCTTTATCCCGTAACCTATATTTCCTGTCGTATTGGGGATACGAAGTGGAAGCAGGATGAACAATGCAATGCGGAAAACGAAACGAAACGAGAGAGAAAAAATATATTCGAAATGCCATCTCTGCGATATTCGACGTGGGCAAAAGGGGTTTGGAAAGGAGGGTAGTTTTAGTTATTGATGATAACCCCGCCCAGTGGCTTACCGAGAAACGGGGCGGTTAATTTATTAATCGAAATTACGGATCGATCGATGCACGCCAATGCCCCACTATTCAAAACACGTACCTGCAATAAGTGCAATATGTATATAGATTACAACAGGTGAACTGAGAGTCAAGGAGAAAACCGCTTTCAAGATTAAATTTAAATATTAACGAACACCGGTTTTTATTTCACTACCATTTAGGTTTTATACAAAAAAAACAACTTTTATAATAAAAAAAAACTGGTTTTCCGGAAATCAACCGGTTTTAGAATTTTCACAAAAAAATATAAAGAGAAAGGATTTTCACAACTTATTTTCTCATAAACTGATGTTAAAAAGGAAATAATGTCTACAGATTTTGTCTTGTCTTTATCTTACATATACAATTTATAAAATTGTTATCCTTCTGTTTGTGCCCTGTAATAATAGAAACTCTTTTTTAGTGTTTAAAGACAGGACGAAGTCATTTCTTCAGGTTGTTGAAGATATTTATAAATAGTTTTTTTCATATCATTTTTAAAGCTTCTGTTGGACACTCAATAATAATACTATTTTCTTTTTGTTTCATGAAAATTAGTATTTAACAATATTCCCGTTTTATGCCCGAAGGAGATTTTGTGTCAAAATGTTTATGTTTTTTATCAAATAATTATTTTTTTTAGTTGGAAAAACCCTGTTTTTAAATTATATAAATTTCTTCAAAAAAACGGTTTTCAGAAACTCTAATTCATTTATTTCTATTTGAATGTGTAAACCGTAACGACTCATGCACAAAATAAAATCCTTGTTGTTTATGCAATTTTTTATTTCTTTCAATGCAATTTCGAAGTGGATGCCTCTATTTTAATCGACTACGTTTATTTTCAATTCATTATGGATTTGTTCTTTTGTTTGTGTTCAATTTCATATCGTTCATTGAAATGAGACGAAATGATAAATATGTTTTGCTTCTACCTTGTTTGTTTGTTGTCTCTGGCGAAACGTTGTTTATTAGATGCACATGATTTATGACCGTGTATGTGATTGGGTTTACTGTGATTCCTCCTCGTAATGATGTACAATTTGTTAGAGGATAATGGGTGCGTGGTACGCCTGTCGTGTGTCGTCCACAAACTTGGAGCTTCCATTAATTTGGATATGTCTGTACATTTTAAATGCGTTCCAAATTTCATTTTTTTTTTCAATATGATTTCCATACTAGTAATGGTGACAGCTTGTATATTTCATGAAAGAGTTATATTAATCAATTTTGTATATTTTTTTCCACAATGAGAAAATTTACTTTATGTACATATTTACGTTCTTTATTTACTTCCAATAAATTATTTCTATTTTAGTAGAATTCACAGATTACTTCTTTAAATACATTTTTTTTCTCTATTTATCAAAATTTATGTTCGATTATTTATTACTTTTTACTATTCTGTTGATCCAAGAAAAACATAATGATAATATATCTACTAGAAACACAAATTATATAATATTTAAGTAATAACTATCCAAAATCTCAAAATTAGTTCTGAGCAATTCAAAATACTGAAAAATTGTTTAAAAAGTTGGAATAACTGTAATTAAGACTTCTATTGCAATCGGTTAACCGGTTAAACCGACTAATATGATTACTGTAATTACCGGTAAATTTTGATAAGAAATACCGGTAATTTCTGTTTCTTTTTACTTGGAAATTGAAAGAGATGTTGCACATAAAGATATATTTTTCAACATTTAAAACTTTCCTTATAAGTGTATACAAATTAATTATATTATAGCAATACTACAGTTATACCTCGGTTAACATTACCTCTAATAACAAAGTTCGTAATGTGAAATCACAATTAAAACTTTTTGGAAGTTCTTGGAAAAAAGACACTAAAAAATTGGTGTTTTTAATAAAATTTTCCAAATAGTTTAATCAATTGCTTTAAAAAAAATCTTAGAAATTTATTGAATACATAAGATGATGGATTTTTTGTGGTATATTTAGAAAACCTTTTTAGCAACGAAGACAAAGAAAATGAAGACGAAATTATAAAGTTCATGCCAAAATTGTGGAAATTGACGATCAAATTGAAAAAAAGTGCGTTTTTAGTGAAAATAATTGTGATTTAAGAGAAAACGTGTTATTTTAAGCGTCAAATGCAATAAAAGAGAACAAACAATGGAAATTTTAAAATGGAATTTCAATTTTTATGTAATTTGACTGTTTATTTAGTAAAACTTTTCTTTGTTCAAAGAAAAACTTCATTTTATATACGAAGTTTCGCTTAACGTAGAAATTTCGTAAAACGCATCCAGAATTCACTAATCAAGGATTTACTGCATTATAATATGTGGTTATTTAAAAAAAAATCTTTTTATAACACTATATAATTACCATTGTTAGCGTTGCTTGGCATCATCTCAGTTACAGTCCTCATAGATCTTGGACACTTCATCCCTTTATTTATTGTCTGTGTATTAAAGAAAAGAAATACATTATACTAAAATACAGTATACAATTGCACACGATAAAATGAACTTGATTATCTAGATTTTTCGCTTCAAATTTCCATCTTTCAACCGATTTAATTTCATAATAAAAAGAACCTGTCTTCAAAATATAGTCTTAACATTGAAATATTTTACAAAACATAAAAGGCAATTGACAAAACCAAAACGCTTGTAATGCTCTCTCCATTGCACTCCATCAAAGAATCCGAGCACCCTTTACACAAGTATCGTGTAGTAACTTGTAACATTTTCTAACGAGCACACAAGCACTTTAAGATGATAAAACACTTTATGAAGGAAGTCTTCAAACTGTAGCTCTTTTGTACTCAGCAATTAAAATTCTTCTCCAAACTTGATAAAAGCTGGATAATATATCCACAGTTCGATTAATTAATATATTGTTTACAATATTAAAAAGAAATATAGATTTTTTTAAACATTACATTAATATTAATATTAACAATATTTATTGGCCCATTCAGGATTGAAGCAAAATTAATATTATCTTCTGTTTGAGCGTAACAGTGGTTGTCACAGGTGCCAATAGTGTACACCATGAAGTTGGTGAAAAAAGCTTAGGTCGCAAAAATTAAGCATGGAGAAAAGCATTCGTTCAATAGATTATTAGAAGAGTTTAATTATAGAAGTGTAAGCAATTTGATGTAGTTAATAAACACCATTTTCCATTCACCCGCATAACTTGGTCCTTCGTCCAAAACATCTTCAATTGTAGATATTTCATATTAAAACAAATAATATTTATCTTATAAATTAAAGTTTTAATTTTTCTTTTCCATGTTGTTTTATAACTTGTAGATAATTTAAATAATAATGCGATTATTGCATGATCCTTCTTAATACAAACAGTTTCTTGTAATATTATAAAAATGAAAGAGTAAAGTTAACTACAGTAATAATTGCTTGGTCGTGCTACAATATTTATATATTTTTGTTCTAAATTATCGTCATATGCGTGTTAATGGTAATTAACTATATACATTCTATTAATAATATAATATTTAAATAAATATATGCAATTACTACAATAAAATAATCGATAAACTAGAGTTGATCTATCTGCTACAGTAACTAAAGACTTAACTATTACAATAGTAATAATAATAGATTTGGGTTTATAGAAAAAACCGACTGTTTGAAAAACCTGTTTTCAAATCTCAACTTTCCCATAAAAACCGGTTTTCAAATATTTATTTAAAAATTCTTGATTATTACATAAATCTATAATAAAAATAAAATTAACTCCATGGAAAATTATATAGAAGAACGAATAACAATAAATTACTATAAAATAGGGCACAAAGATCTATGGTCAATAGTCCTTTGTATCAGTTGACTTTTTTGAAATTATATACTATAAAATATTATTTTTTTCTCAAAAAATATGATTTTAAAAAGGAAATAATGCAAATTTACAGAAATAGAAAAAGAAATGATCTAAGCTTGATTTTCTTCTTCGTCGCATTTTCCATCATCGCAGTCATCTTATATTTAATAATTTGGATATAATCTTGTCCAGATGACTTAAATATGTCATTTGTTTAATTTCGTTTGAATTATCTCTTGAATTCGTTTTTTTTTTCGGAATGTAATACCTGAGAACTAATTTCAGTTTTCAATTCACGTAACAGAAATTAAAGTATGCCTTTACTTGTTAATAAATTCGCATTTTGTTCTAAAAACTCTTTCTATCGTAGCTTCTTTTTCATCTTATTTGGCAGTCAAGAATAAGACTTAATTCCTTCCCAGAGGTGATTTTGTGTCAAAATGTGTTTGTTTTTAATCAAATAATTATCAAATCTAGTTTAGGCTCAAAACCAGGATTAAAAAACTCGGATTTGAAGAAATTTATATGTGCTTTTCAAAAACCTGTCTTAAAAACTGTCAAAAGTTAGTGATAATAACGTATTTATTTATTGAATCATCCAGCTAGAAACATTAATAGGTCATTCCATATAAACAAAATATAGAAATAAAAAGATTACTTAGTATTAATTAGTATCAATTTTTTAACAAAAGTAAAAATTATCTAACGTGTTCTACTCGCTGCCGAATTCTGAATTTACCTATATGTAACTGTGACTTCCTTTAGTGCTTGTCTATGAACGCACTAAACATTAAAACAAATGATAAATAATGTAATTTTAGCATATGCAAAGATTACTTTTAAAGCTCTTAAATCGGCATAATCGACTCTACCATACGAAAATTTGAGTTGTTTCATTATATTTTTTTTGTATCTTCGTCGGGATTTGGTGAGAGGCTTATATACTCGACCCATATAGGGCTTATTGAGGGTTATGAATTAAATTTTATGGAATATACAAAACCGAATGGCAGTGCTCAGTTGCGGATAATCTCTTCCCTTCGCTATTTCCACGAAAATAAAGCTTTGCAAAGCTTTCCACACACGACTTACTTCCATACTTTCACCATGCTCAGTTTCCATGTAGAGAAATTACAGATTTCTACGTAATAATTACGAAAGTTAACTTTTTCTTTTTTTTTTCTTCTTCATCTCTCTATTATTCAATCGCGTGGAGAGAAAGAAAAAGGGGAAAACGAGAAAAAAAAAAGGGAAAAACAATTAAATGATTCCGAATGGAAGTTCCCAAACTTAATTTCGCAACCGTTTTAGCCTCCCAAGGGAAAATAAGATTTCATTAATTCCATTTTATATGTTATGTGGAATTCTATTATTTTCTGTTATTTTCACTTGACTTTGCAAAAAAAAATATAAAGCTTAAAATATAATTATGTATTTGTGTGAAGAAATGGTGACCCGACAAAAGCGCACAGTAAAACAATAAAAAAAAATATGTACTATTTTTTTAGAATTTCTACTTATTTCGTTTCAATCTCAATACCGGACTATAGTGAAACCGCACTATGTGAGGTGTTTATGTAATATCTTCTTATATACGATTATGTATTTAGTGATATTCTTACTAAATATAGTACATATTCTTTTTTATATAAATTTGTGTTTGTATGGAAAAAATATATAAAAAATTATAATATTTCAATATTTACTTAATTCTTGTCACAAAGTATGGGATTCTTAAAAATATATAACAAAGAAAACAACAAGTTCCAAAATTATGAATAAAATAATTTTTATTTGCTAATAGGTTTATGTAGAAAAATTAGTTTAGAACTTATTTTTATGTATTTCAATAAAAATTTAGTTGATTTTTTTATAATTTTGAAACCGGACTATTGTTAAACCGCACTATGCGAGATATAACTATATTATTATGTATTTACATAAAATTATCAATTTAAAAAAAAAGTAGAAATTTCAAATTAGATATTTCATGTATGTATATTAACATAAAACAAAATATTAGAGATTTTATAATTTTAAATAATTTTTAAAAAATTTAAATAATTTAATATTTACAAAATGTATTAGTTTATTCGCTTATTTATTAACCAAAGTCTTTCTGTTAACAAAATATAATTTACGCATTTCAAGTAATAAGTTAATAATTACTTTATGAAATGAAAAAATCTGAATTGAAAAAAAAAATTCAATTGTATCATGATTATAATTCATTCCTTATTTCTCTATTTATCATTCTTACAGCACAATATTGCATTTATTCGTAATTTATACTCTTATATATTTAAAAACACGGTCTTCGAGACTAATTGGAAATTTATAGCGCCAGGCGCATCCACCAGGAAACCGCCATATACCATGCAAAGTGCCAAATCGTAAATCCAAAATACACCCGAATATATTTCACGCGAGGTGCTTTTTCTGCAATTTACCATCCAAAATCCCATTCGTTCCTATCTTTTGGCACCCCTGTTACCCGATTCGACATAAGGAAGAACCACGGTTCCTCCTCCTGCACTTTGGCCCTTTGCCCGTAATATATGCAAAGAGCGAACAACAAACAATCCTTGATCCAAGAATGCGCAAATACTTCCGTTATTCATTTATGATTTACGTAATGGAACGAAGATAAGTTGCAATTAAAAGCATCGATTAATCGACCCTCTTATTCTTGCTTAAATAAGATCCTCGATAATCGACGAAGCGAAAACGAAAAGTTTCCAATTGTGATTATTCCATGCGAGCTTTGATGTCTGTTTCTCACTGCTCTCTCTCTTTTTTTTATCTTATTATTTTTTTTTATTTTCTCTCATCCAATCGCGATTCAGATAGGCCGAAAGATCGTTAAACGTAATGTACTTTCATTAAATCCTCTGGGCGGCTATTAATGTCGTTTTATTGTTTGTTGATGTTCGTTTCGTTACGTTTCCACTCCTAAACGCTCTTTCTCGGAGGTTCTTCAATTTCGTTTTTTTTTCCGTCTGATTGATTCAGTGTTTAATTATGCACCTCGAATCGGGTAATTACTTACCAGACACCCACAATTCCTAACCCTAACTATTAATTACAACTAAAAAACGTGTTTATTGTACCAATAGAAATTACTAATTATGAGCTTACAACTTCCATGCAAATAATCAATATTCTCACGTAATTCAAACATAATTATACTTATTATTTTTATGAATTATATTTATATAGTTTGATTAATTTAATGTACATTTATCAAAGTTAAATCTATACATTAGTAAGTTATAATTAGTAATAATAATTGAATTCAATTGTATATTTATTTTGTTTTTCACACTTTTTCATTTACTTTTAGACGCATATAAATAAATACCTTTTCTGTAACATAATAATACCTTAAGTTTCCATAAAATTTCATAATTTCAAGTATGATTAATTTCTTAATCGTAATAAAATTTCATTATTTTATGAAATAATTAATTATTTTATCAAAAAAAAATCATTATATATACATGAAAAATTCTAAAAAAAATTGATGCAAATAATTGAATAAATCATTTTAAAAGAAACTAATATTACTTAATTATAGTAATATATAACTATATTAAAAATTGAAAATTGAAATCA